TGTAATTTTTAATGGAAAACTGCAATGCTTTTAGATTAACCCATTACTACAAAAAAAAAAAAAAAAAACACATTGCACATTTTCATTTTAAAAGTTGTTAAGTCGTTTAATTATGTGGCACGATAGTCATTATCATAATACTTGTGTTTTTGAAAATAATTGTGCAAAATGATCTTTCTTAAGTCAATATTTTGATTATATAAAAATAACTATAGAAAATTAATATTAAAAGGGCATGAGTTTTTGTGATGCCATATATTTGTCGCAAATGATAATATTACTAACGGCATGTTTATTCTCACAAAAAAGAGAAGATGGAAAATTTTCTTCAAAAAATTAGACTAAAGTAATGAAGAATCGAAGGTTCATGTCTTTTTAGATGAATTATGAGTTATAAGATTTTCACAAACATACATTAATGAATTATTCGTAATAACATTATTTTATTTGCACAAATATTGATACCGTCAATATTTCCCTCTAGATAGTGAATTCAGTGACACGAATTCTTGTCTTACCAACGAGGTTTAGACTTTGTCTCAAATACATAACTTCCTAATATAACATTATAGGCGACAATTTTATTCATCACAAATAATCATAGCGCCAGTTTTTTCCTGCAAATAGTGAACATAGTGACAGTTTTTTACTTTACAGACGAGGTATTGGCTTTATCACAGATACATAATTTATTGACGAAACATTACTGACAATAGTGTTATCTCATCACTAATAGTCAATTTCAGCGACGAATTTCAGCTGTCATCGCTAATTTTTGTCTCTAATGACAGTCTTTTTTGTAGTGTCCATAGATTCCAACTCCGTCCAGCAAACTGGGCAACGCCGTAGCACGTCAACATCCTTCTTCAGCAAGGCCTCCGTAGTAGGTAAAATGAGGCTAAAAATCTGCCACAGGAAGAACTTCAGCTTCAGTTGCACATGCAAAGACCAAGTATATATCCAAAGCTTTCTGTCCATCCAATTAACGTCCTCTTTCCATTTTGCCCACCGTCGCATCCTACGGAATGCCAGATGATATCCTGATTTGACTGTATAAGCACCTGAAAGATCCTCTGTCCAGATGAGTCTATCCTCCACCTCCAAGCAGGGCAGCGAAAAAGCTTTAATTCGTTGTACATTGCGTAGGGAAGCAAGCCACCAGGCATTCCTCAGACAATTTACCCTCCCCTGGACGGAGCAACGCGAAGACCTTATCTTGCCTCGAAACGGGTGCCAAAGGCAATAAAGGTGGAGCCGCCTAATCCTTACCCGGAACCCACAACTCTGAGCCTATCACCACTGACTCACCCATTCCCCTACCATTGAAGACCTTGCTTGAGCAAAGCACAACTATGTAGAACACTACGCCACCCCCAGGATGGGCGAGACTGAGGACCCGTAGTGAGGAGGGACCCAGTCAGGAAATACTTCCCCTTATAGATTTTTGCCAACAACGAGTCTGGTTCCTCTAAAATACGCAACCCCACCTTCGCCAATAAGGCGTGATGAAACTCCTCAAATTGCTGGAACTCCAAGCCGCCATCGTGCTTACTCCGAAAAAGTCTTCGCCAAGACATCCAATGGATACGCGGAGAGCCATTCTTCGTCCCCCACCAAAATCTAGCCATCAATCGATCAAGACGACGACATAAAGTTTTCGGCAACTGGAAACAGGACATAACATGGACCGGGAAAGCCGTTGCTACCGATTTTAGTAGGGTTTCTTTCGCCGCCCACGTTAAGTGATGTTGTTTCCACCCTTGCAACCGGGAAAGAAGAACCTCCTCAACGAACTTGAATGTTTTAGACTTTGATCTAGCAATCAAATATGGCAAACCCAGGTACTTATCCTGTACCCCAACCGCTCCCACACACAACCTAGCAACCATATCCGCACAATCTGCCTCCAAAATATTTCGGCTAAAGCATACAATCGACTTAGCTAAGCTTACCCTCTGCCCACTCAGTTACTCTAACTCCCGGAGGACCTCCAGAAGTGTGTCACACTCCTGAAGAGAGCCCCTAAGAAACAAATACGAATCGTCAGTGAAGAATAGGTGTGAAACGGCTGGTGCTCTAGGATTAACCTGGGCCCCCGCTAGACGCCCTTCCGATACCGCCTTATTGATTAAAGTAGAGAACCCTTCCGTACATAGCACGAAAAGTAAAGCCGAAAACGGGTCTCCCTGCCGCAATCCACGTGATGAACGAATGAACCTTGATGGGGACCCATTCATCATCACCGAGAAAGATGCAGAAGAGAGGCATTCCCGCACCCACCCAATCCAAACCGGGCTAAAACCCAATCACTCTAACACCGAAAGTAAGAAAGGCCACTCGACTCTATCATAGGTCTTTTTCATATCAAACTTTAGAGCCATAAAGCATTTCTTACCCTTTCTCTTAATCTTAAGATAATGCATCAGCTCGTGGCCAATGAGCACATTATCCACGATCTGACGCTCCCTGATAAACACACTTTATCCCTCCAACACAATTTTTGCCAGATGAGATGCCAAACGCTCCGCCATAACCTTGGTGATTATCTTATACACAAATTGGCATAAGCTAATCGGCCGCAGCTGACGAACATTTTTCACATCATCCACTTTAGGGATCAAGGTCACCCAAGTGTGGTTAAAGCTATGTTAAATACGATCATTTTAAAAAAAATGAATGTATAACCTCCACCACCGAGTGACCAACAATATATCACAAAGCCATATAGAACTTTCCGGTGAACCCATCCGACCCGGGCGCCTGCTTCACCCCATGGAAAACACTGTCTTCTGAATCTCCTCATCAGTAACAATGGGCAATGCCGCCACTCGCACCGTCATATCCTCAACCGTATCTTCCAACGTGAACAAATGTTCGTAGAAACCAACTGCCAACTCCGCCTTCGTCTCATACGAGTGACAACATGGAAGTAGGACGTAATTACGGTCACCCACCTTAAGCACCAGACTCGTGATTTCTGTTGCCAGAAATTTCTCCCACCTCCCATTGCCTTGCCAATTCCTCTTCAAGTTCCCGGATCCTTACCCAATCCACCGGGGCCGCATTCCGTAAAGCATCAATCTCAGTTTGAAGCATCCTAATTTCCCTGGCCGAATTTGTCGTGCCTGCCCGACTCCAATCATATAGAAGATGACACAATTTTTTATGCCGCTGCCAAAGCCTATACATTGGAGATCCACGCTCTTCTTGGCTCCACACATATTGGACAAACAGCCGAACCTCTGGATTATCCGCCCAACGGGCATCAAAACGAAATAGAGGGCGACAATTTCGCACAAATGGCTTATCCCCGACCAAAATCGTTCGATGATCTGACCCTTGATCGGTACAATGTTTTACAAATGAGGACGAGTAAGATTCCATCCATAGCGCAAACCCCAAGGCACGATCTAGCCTTCCATCACACAGACATTACCCATCCTCTTATTTGTCCACGTCAAAGGACTTCCCAGGTATCCTAAGTCTTGCAGACCCAAATTATCCATTAAGGCTCGTAGATCCTCAGATTGCGTTGGATTTCAGGCTGTACGTCCCACTTTTTCATTTGAGGACAAGATGGTATTAAAATCGCCAACCACCAGAAAAGGAATCGTAAACATCGCACAAAACGCTTGCAAACAAACTAGTTGGGATCGATGCATAGCAGTGACACAACTCAAATACACACACCACGATATATGGTGACTCATTATTATTAATAGTAACAGCGATAAAGAAAGATGAATTACAACCGACAGAGACTGACTTTGGGGGACCAACCAACTAGGAGTGAACAAACACACCCGCAAATCGACCCACCCGTCTAACCCGATCCAACCCACCCGTATTTATCGCTAAAACGAAGGTGTTGAGTTGGGTGAGGGTTTTGTTTTGTACAACCCGTCTCTTTTGTGTTGCGTTTGGATTTTGGATTGCACAACCTGTAGAAACCCGTGTTCCAACTCTTGGTATGAGTTTGTATTCAAAAAATTGTCGTATATAGCCATACTTATGAGAAAATTAAAATATTTTTCCATGTGTTTCTCTCATGGTCTCCCTAATCTAATGCATTCTTCGACTTAAACTTTAGACATAAATTTAATATAGCTATGTTTCACGTAATATTTTTTCTTGTGTATAATTTAAATAGAATAACATATTATGGATGCGTTCGTTTATAACTTTTTTTAGCCTATTTCAACAAATGTCGTGAAAAAAACTAGACATTGAAGTAAATCACATTTTATGGTGTAGAATTTTGATACCTTTCACCTCGATTTATTTGTTTGAAATTTTAATTAGTTATAAAATATTTTAATTGTGTAGAATAAGTACATATTTTGTGTTGGGTTGAGTTTTTACTTAAAAATATCGCCACCCCGACCCAACCCAATTAGAAACAAACCTTAGGGTTAAATTTTTTTTTGGTGGGTGTTGGTTTAATATTTCCCAAACCGTAGTGCACAGGTCGGATTATTAAAATGGCTAAACTCAGACCACCCGACCCATGTACACCCCTACAACCAACAGCTAAACCACCCGACGAATTAACAGCATAAACTAAAAAACAGGAACCCAACGAAAAACCTAAATGCCGCATACGACGCACTTCGACCTGACGACGAGATCTTGTTTCCGACAAAAAAATTAGATCCGGATTATTAGAACAAACTAGACCTAACAACGTCTGGAGCGTGAGAGTAATCTCTATACCCTCACGTTCCACGATAAAATTCTCATTTGAGCGACTGGGGCTATTTCGGGTTGGCTTCCTCCACCACTATATCATCATTCTTACTAGAACCTTGTACACAAACTTTCTTCACAGGAGTAGGATAAGCCACCAATTCCCCGACCTCCACAACATACCTTTTCCTCTCATCTACGACCTCAATCTCAGGATCTGTCATTCAAAATACCTGCATCAAATTAGAACCATACTCGTCCAGCTTCAGGGTTATCATCGCCTTCTTCATCATGTCTGTTGCCGAGTCCACCATCTAATCCATAATAGAAGAATCAACTTCCTTCCCCTGCGACGAATAAACAGCCTTTGCCCCAAGAGAACGAGCTTGTTTCTCACCTGCTTGCGAGCCCTGTTGATATGCCTTTGGCCGACCCACCTTCGGTGTTTGATCACCCACCTGTTGTCGTGCTTGTTCATCCTTGCACACCCCCTGGATCTCCTTCCCTGCCATCCCCTTAGTCCTTGCTGTCTTATTCTCTTTCCGATTCTTACCAGTGGACATCACCCCAACATTCTTCTTCCCCTCGCCACTCCCCTGACACCCCCCCAGCCTGTTTCAGCTCGCCCTCCATTCCCTTCCCATTCTTCGATGCTGAAACAGCAACCAAAGCCTTCCCCTTACCAGCCGTACTCCTCTTCCCAGCCTCACTTTTCTTTCCTTCAACCCCTCAAGCCGACGCCTTAGTCCCCTGTAAACCCAACACCACGGGCATCGACGAAGCCGCCACCTCTAGCCCCTTTCCTCCAGCATCATCATGGCCTTCTTTCTTGGCTGGCCCCTCAAAATTTGGATTAAATCCAAACTGATTTTGGCAGACGAGTCACTTCTGCATTTAGTCTGTAGCCTATCAAATCAGTGGACATTCTTGGGCCATACTCCTCATCCCCCTCCGGATATGGGAAAGATCAGTTCTTCTCCAAATGTCCTAGCCTCCCGCAGTGGTAGCAAAATAGCGGAAGGAACTCAGAAACGAGGTACACCCATGTGTTTTGACGAAGTTTTGACGATGAACCGAGGCAAGTGAAGCGGCACGTTTTGGACGAAGTTCCCATACTCCCCGCGGATACCAAACAACCCTGCATCCAATACCTTGATTCGGGCTCAAATGTACACATTTTACCCCTTATTTCTTATTCGTTTAGCTTAGTATTTCATTGTTCCTAGACATATTTCACACTAGGTTATGCTTGTTTTAATACATTTCAGGTCCTAGAACGCGTGGAAGGGTCGATAACAAATTTTGGGATATTTGGAGGTTGAAAAGCGCAAAAACCGAAGAAAAGTCCGAAGTCGTAATAGTGAAGTGAAGGCGTCCCAGGTAACAGCCGCAGTTCACGGCCGGACAAGGCAGTTCACGGTCTCTAAGACCGTGAACTAGGTACATTGACCATGAACCAAGGCGAGTGAAGCGGCACGTTTTGGATGACGGTGAGTTCACAGACACGTTTAGGTGTTCATGGCCGTGAACTGGCCAACGTGTCCGTGAACAGATCGCTTTCGGGAAAATATGAAGATAGCAGCGGGGAGAGAGAAAAGGAGAGCTGGTTTTTGGAGAAGAAACACTTTCTTTCTTTAGGGTTTGAACCTAAACACCAAATGGGAGTTCTAGTGAGAGAGAGAGAGTGCTAGAGTGATCGTGGAGCATCATTGGAGGATTGGGTGGAAGATTCAAGCCTAGAAGAAGATCTTGAGCTCAAATTTGTAATCCCCCCCTCTCTCTCAAGAAACTCACTCTTTTCTCTTGGGTGTTGTAGATCCCTAACTAATACTTTGTAATTACTTGTTTAGATTGGATGTTGTCATTGGGTAGTGATTAATTCAAGTATTAGAGGTGTTTTCATGGTGATTGTGCATGCTCGTGCTGAGCCATCTAAGGGTTGTGCATAATTGTGCTTAGCACCCTTAGGTTTGTGCATGTTGGTGCTAGCAATCTAATTAGCCACCTTAGCCTAGTTTAGAGAGGAAAATCCTCCTTACAAGGGAGACTCAATTGAGTTGGTTTTCTTTCCGCTTTCTAACCCCGTCTAAGAGTAATAAACATTGTGATTGCATCCAAATATGAACTGAATTGCTATTCGTCGCCCTAAAATTTGAATTTGTTCGCCCTAAATCGTACTAAATTGACGTTTGTACCCTTGTGCCCAATTTCAGTCCGCAATCTTAACTTCTTGCCTCGTCCCACCGACCAACCAAATTCCGGCAGCTGCTGTTCCCCCAATCTGTCGTCGCTCCCATTCCGCCAGACCGCCGACAAACGATGCTTCCCGCGGAGTTTGCGGCGGAGACAGAAGGCAGAGGGCTTGTGGCGAGCTGGTGCAGGCAGGAAGAGGTGTTGAGACACCCAGCGATTGGAGGTTTCTGAGCCACATGAGCGTCTCCTGCGGCGTGCTAGAGATGATTGGAGGGAAATCGAAGAAGGTTATGGGACGCCGACGCTTCAAGGGTGGGAGAACATGACGACGCTTCAATCCATATCCAGAGAGAGAGAGAGAGAGAGAGAGAGAGAGAGAGAGAGAGAGAGAGAGAGGACGCGACGATGGGTCACGACAGGCGATGTCCGATCACTGAAGAGTGGGCGAAGCTCGGTGGCCGAGCTCCGACGTACTATGGCGGGGTGGAGGGTTTTTGTGGCAGACCTACGGTGGAGAGAATCTTTCTCATTTTGGTTTTCAATTAATTTTTAATTTTTTTATTGTGAGGTGGAATTCTTATTTGAATATATTTTATATTTGAATATTTTTTGTTATTGGGTATATTTCTTTGTGTTTGTTTTAGTATTTATGTGGTTTTGAAAAATAAAAACTACATTAAGGCTATTTAAGTCATTTTATTACATATTAGGGCGACGAATAAGATGTTTTAGGGCGACGAATAGCAATGCCCAATATGAAAGCGAAAGAAAGATCCCTACAATGATACGAACAAAATAGCACATATATGGAAATACCAAAAACGACCACAAGATATAGAAACGAAGGCAAGATCAAACTTACCAGATACAACAACCAAATATGTTGTACAAAATGAATAAAGTAAACTATCAGACCGACCAAATACAACAACCAAATAGGCAAATATAGTAGGGACTAGGGAGCAAACTTTACCAAAGTAACAAAAGCCTCTCATCACAATTATTGATAAGCCAAATAAATGACAAAAAAAAAATACTTTACATCAGGCTAACAAAAACTCAAACCTTAGGGCCCGTTTAGTATTGTTGCTTGTTTTTGTTTCCTGTTGTGTTTTACGAAATTTGGAAAACCAAGAAAAAAAATCGTGTTTAGTTGGGTTTTTATTTTTTGTTGTGAATCAGAGTTGCACAACAAGGCCCAAATATGAGAAACAACAATTTATAGCTTTGGATCTGATTCTTAAACATGTTGCACACGGGATTCCTACTGGTTGTGCGCTTGATTTCATTAAAAGAGACCAGTTTTCGAATCCCCACAGAAACAAAATTTTTTTTTTTTTAACATATCCGCCCCCTCCCAAAACCCTACTTCAGCCGCCCTTTTACCATTTTCCATCTTCTTTGTCGAGACTCATCAGCCGCCCAAGCTTCTTCTTCTCCGCAAGAACGCCCGACTCCGGCCAGCGGCGCCTCCGCCTCCGGCCCGCGCAGCCAGCCGCTCGCCTCCGCCCAACCCAGCCGCGCGCCTCCTCCCAGCTCAGCGCCGCCAGCCGCGCGCCTCCGCCCAGCCCAGCGCCGACCAGCCTCCGCCGGCCGCCGACCAGCCGCGCGCCTCCGCCGACCACCGATCATCTCCCCGCAGCAGGTAAAACAAACCATTTATTAAATGTATTATGTTAATATTGTTGCTTCTTAATATGTTCTTGAATTATGGTATGTATGTAGTGATTGCTAGACTAGTTATTTGTGAATTTGGATTGATTGCTATGTTCTTTGTGAATTTCGATTGATTGCTATGTTCTTTGTTTTGTGGTTTATTAAATGTATTATGTTAATTTCGATTGCGGACATATTTCTTTTTCTGGTTTTTAGTTCTTATAGTAGTAACTAAACGCGTTTTTGTTTCTTGTTGTCAGCTTTCATGATTTTTCAGATTTATCAACTAAACAGGTTTGTGTTTTCTGTTTTTTTTCCTGTTGTGGTTGTACATCTGTTTACAAAACACCACTGCAACCACAACAGCAACAAAATGATACTAAACGGGCCTAAGAAAAGAAAGAACATACGAAAAATATTAAAACATAGACCCATAGTAAAACTCCCAACCCGAAAAAACCTTACCCAGAGAAACTAAACGGACACTAGTAATCAAATAAAAGTTTAACCCAAAATGAAAGAAACAATAAATTACTGAATGCAAGAAAATTAATCTAAAAAAATCAAATACAAAGACAGGCCAAAGCCAAAAGTTAAACTACTCTAAAAAAATAAAAAAAGAAGTTAAAGAACACATTTTGATTAGGGGGAAACATTAAACGTTAAATTGAAAGTAAGAGAGCATTACTGCCACTAATGCAAAAAGCAGGAAAGTAATAAAAGTCAAACATTGAATACAAAGGCAATTCAATTACAAAAATAAGCAATTAATAACGTAGGAGAGAGACATTAATGCAGTTTGACCCATAAAGCTCAATTTTGAGTTGTAAGGAGCAAATAAGGGAAGAATAATCAATTATCCGCTATAAAATAGGAAAATCAGAATGTTAAACGTAAAATCCGTGCTAAATTGCCCTTAATTAAGGTTGGACAAAAATTCAAACTCGCCTGAGCTTTGATCGGAGAAAGGTGAGTATCGACGGCCGGGAGCATGCCAAGGGAGATCTACGGTGATTGGCTAAATTGCAAGTTTGGTAACTTGAATTAATAGTAAAGTTCACGTTAGCCACTAGAATTACTTTATTCCATCCGTAGTCAATTAAATTAGGTTAACAGTCCAAGTTTGGTCACTAACCATTAGTCTCCGTTAACTTTTGCTGATGTGACGGTCAAGTCTAATAGTTGACCGTTAAATGAGTGACATGACAATTAAAAAATTAAAAAGATAATAATTTCTATTTTCCACTTCAAGTTCATTAAAAAATAAAATAAAAATAAAATCTAAATGGCCGAGGAGCCCGACCGCAAAATCAAATTTGAGGGGGGCATCACCGGCAACCAGTTCTGGTGCGCCGCCGTTGATGCTACCCTACCACTATTTCGCTGGTGCGAGCAACTCCGCCACGACGCTTCCAGCTTGGCGTCGATTCTCCCTAGGTTGCAGAGATTGGTTGAAGGATCCGGGTCAGTTTGATCACGATAGAAGATCCTTGTTGTGGATCGGAAAACGGAAGCTAGGTGAGATCCGAGCAAATTACGATCGCCCACAACATGTTGATTGCTTTGACCAGGAAAGAGTGGTCGGTCACATTTTCAAACGTCTTTTTTGACTAAAGTAGTGGGATGGAGATTTCCGCTACCTTCTCTGACGGAGCTCGAACAAGAAGGGTGGATGACAAAGACTCAATATCCACCTACCTTCGAGGATAGTCATGGGACTCTACTCCCAAGTCTTTGTTCTCAAGTGAATCCTAGTGCGGGAAGTCTCCTTGATTCGGGCCTAATTGTACATATTTTATCCTCGTTTTCCTTAGGCGTTTGTGGCAATTGTGCTCCTTAAATGGTGGTTTTACGCGAGGTTTCTTGTGTTTTAGCATTTTTCAGGATTTAACAGGTGAAACCAGCCCCAGAGTAGGAAGTTGGTGGAAAAGAAGCGAAAACCGGGAGAAGTGGCGAAAAACGGCAGTTCACGGTGGCTCTTGGAAGTTCACGATCTGCTAAGACCGTGAAGAGAAGCTATTGCCTGTGAACATCAAGGCGTCCAGGGCGAATTCTGAAGTTACTGACGCTGATTGAGTTCACGATCACTAAGACCGTGAACTGGAGCTGTTTCCTGTGAACCTGTGCAAACGAAGCGGTGAGTTTCGACGCTAACCTTGAGTTCACGAACGCGTTCAAGAGTTCACGGCCGTGAACTGAGGCCGTGAACTTAGCCCGATCTCTGTTTAAAAGGAGAGCTGAAAGGAAGAGAGAAAGGGGTAGCCTGATGAGCCCCAAAAGGCTTTAATTCAGAACTACGCAGCTTTGAGACCTCGATGAATGGATGGAGGTGTGTAACAGGGGAATTCGAGAGGTGAACAGAGTGAACTATGGATCAAAGGAAAGAAAACTAAACCAGCAGCTTCAACACATAGGGGAAGAGGCTAGCCTAGGTAGAAACTACCACGAGATCAAGGGTGAAGATCTTGATCTCTAGGTCTGCAATTCTCGGCTAAAACAACCAAGAACCTTAGCTCGCAAGCTGGAGAACTCCTTGGAGTACTTTTCGATTAGAACTAAAAAACGTCAATTACAATCAATGAAAGAGGCTATTTATAGCCGAGAACAACCTAACACAATCCTAATTGAACAGTGACACAAATTACAAACAAAACAAGGAAATGAAAACAAGTAAAACACGGAAACTTGCAAGCTAAGCAACATCCTTCTCGGCCATGCAACTGTCCAGGAAATCAGTCCTCGTCCCAACTTCCAACTCATGGAAAATGTCCTTCTGGGTTGAGTCGAGCTCAGCCAATTCCTTCCCTAGGTTTAGAAAGTTTCACTCTCTCAATTCCAACACCAAGCTCTAGCTGATCGTGCCCCAAACTTCGTGAATTCGAGCTCAAAGTTGCTTCCTCAAACTGTCTTCCTACCTTAGCCAAAAACTGGCAATTTCCATAATGCATGATAGGGTTTTGATGGCCTTGAAAAACAACCCTTCTGGCTTCCTTTCCACGACCTAAGTGCACCAACTTATAGAGGAGCACCCAATCTTCAAAACAAGCCCTCACACGTAAATTTTCACTCAGCCAGTTGAGAGATCCAACCTTCCAAAAGTAGGCTTCCCAGAGTTGTTTTCATACTTAGGCAAATTTCAGCTTGTTTCATATCAATTTGATCCGAACTTTGAACGATTGATTGGAGTTTGTAAGAGGCTGGATTTGAGATCATATCAGAGCCCAAGAGTGAGAAAGTGTCTTCTTCTTCATATTTTAGAGATTGAAAGAACGAACCAAAGAAGAAAGAAGGCTTGGGTTTGCTCCAAGTGGTGAATCTTCCCAAGATAAGATCAACACAAACTCAAAGGAGATTGGAGAGGGAGCTAGCGGTGGCAAGGAGGAGAAGTGAAGAAAGGGGACAACAATTTGGTCCCGGTATTAGTGGAGTAGAAGTTGAAGAAGTGTAAGGTGAACCCGACATTGGAGTAGAAATGACAGGGAACCAAAGAGAAGTAGGAGTTACCCAAACTCGTAACCTAAACGATGCGGCGGCAGAAGAGGAAGCCCCGAGGACAATGAGATACTATATGGCCCCACGGTCGGCAGACATTCAATCCCAAATCCTACATCCTCCCGCGGCCGCAAACAATTTCGAGATCAAGCCGACTCTAGTGACTATGATACAGAACAATGCTTTGTTCCACGTTCTTTAGAGTGAGTCACCAAGAGAGCACGTCAGAGATTCTTCGAGCTCGTGGGGAGCTTGAAAATCAATGGTATGCTGGCTGAAGCTTTGCAACTGAGGCTTTTCCCCTATTCACTTGCGGGGAAAGCAAGTGATCGAGCTACTTGAAGAAATGGCCCTCAACGGATATGATTGGGGATTGACGAGAAGTGGGAGGAGAAGCAATGATAGGGGTTGAGAAGTGTGGGAGCGAGCGCTCCACTTGAGACGAAGTTGGACAAGTTGATAGAGGTAATTCTCGAAGATAAGAAACAAGGGAAGAGGTCGGCGATGTCTTGTGATTGGTGTTCGAGCACTAGCGATGAGATGGCGTAGTGCCAAGCAATGACGGAGGCGACCACTGCGGAGGGGCAAGTCAATTTCGTGGAAAATTCTAGGGCTAATAACCCGTATAGCAATACTTATAATCCCAGATGGAGGAACCACCCCAATTTGCTTGGTCATCACCGACTAATCCGAGGCCCCCGTGTTTTCAAGGCCCCACGGGAAATTATCAACATCGGCCAACCTTCATCCAACAAAGGCCTCAAGTCCAAAGCTCGAACTTCCAACAACCATATATTGAACAAGGTGGTCAAGGGTTTCAACAACAACAACAACAACCCGACAAGCTATCCAAGCTTGAAGACCTAGTGAATACCTTTGTGAGCACGAGTGCTCAAAAGTTCGATACGATTGAGCAATTCATGGATGTGGCGACTACCAAATTTACCTCGGTTGAGGTGGGACTCCGAAGCCATCAATGCGAGCCTCCAAAGCTTGGAAGTGCAAATAGAAAAGCTTGGAAGTGCAAATAGAAAACCTTCCCAAACCGTGGCGAACCCCAAGGATCATGCCGGGGTGAATGCAATTCAAGTGGGAAGTGGAAAGGTGACTCTGGGAGTCGCCGCTAAAGAAGTGATTGAGAAGGTAGATCCCAACCCGAAGGATGGAGAGAAAGGGCCCTCGAGGAGAAAGAGGAAAGCGGCAAGGAAGGCATCGCCGACACAACCTCCGGTGGTTGAGTACTAGCCACCTCTTCCTTTTCCCACGAGGATGTATAAGAAGAGGTTGGAGAACGAGTGTGGAGGTTTTATGGAAATGCTCCGCAACCTCCACCTCAATATCCCTTTCCTTGAAGCCATGGCTCAAATGCCAAGATATTCAAAGTACCTCAAAGGATTCCTCACCAAGAAACCAAAGCTTGAATGCCTCGCCAACGTGGCTCTTGGCTAGGAGTGTTCGGCTTTCCTCCTCAACCGCTTGCCCAAAAAGCGGTCCGACCCAGATAGCTTTACTATCCCTCTTGGTATTGGTAACATTCATATAGACTTTGCCTTGGCGGACCTAGATCTAGTGTTAACGTGATGCCCTACAAGCTTTTCAAAAAGTTAAAAGTAGGTGAACTTAAGACCACTAAGCTTAGCATCACTTTAGCCGACCGTTCGGTCATTAGCCCGAGAGGCATTGTGGAGGACATGTTGGTGCGAGTAGGCAAGTTTTGCTATCCGACCGATTTCGTGATTCTCGATATAAGCAAGGACTTGGATATTTCGTTCATATTCGGTCGCCCATTCCTCGCCACCGCCAAGGCATAGATAGACGTTAATGAGGGGACCTTAATTCTGAGGGATGGTGAGGAGAGATCAAGCTTGAAATTGACCCTAAGGCTAGAAGTGAGGAAGTGAAGGAGTTGGTTTCGAATTATGTGAATGTGAGTGGAGGAGAGCCTCTCAAAGCAAACCCCACTATTACTTGTGTTGCTTGTGGTAATGTTGAGCAGGAATGTGGTGGATCCACTCTCGGTCGCATCACATTCCCAGCCTTGATTAATCCCCAACCGTCAAGCTAATGACGATAACTAAGAACTTGTTGGGAGGCAACCCAACAGAGGTTTGTTTTCTTTTCCTTATTTTCGTTTTTGTGTCAAGTGAAGAGTTCAAGTGGTAAAGTGGTGTCCCCGTGCCAAGTGTTGTCGTTTTGTGTTTTAAGGTTGTGTTGTGATCGATTAGGAGGCACGGTGGAATAAGTTGAGTCAAAATTTTCTCAGAAGTGCCCTGTTTTCACTGAAGATCACGGACAGATTGCTGAGTTCTGCATGTTCACCACCTGTTGACCAACCTCAGTTCACGGTCTCTAAGACCGTGAACAGGCCAACGCGTCCGTGAACTCCGTGCTTCGCCTATAAAAGGGGCGTGAACGGCGACTCTTCACTTCACGACCCAAAACTCGTAGGAAAACCGTGAAATTCCGACGGTTTTCACTTTTTCACCCATTTGCGGCGAGCAAAACCCAAAACCAACTTCATACCTATTCTCCCCTCATCAAAATCGGCCTGTGTTGCGATTTCGGGGAGATTTGGGGCAAGTTTTTTCCTATCAAGTCGCCTGGGGCGAGTCTCCAGTGAGCTTCCGATGAAGCTCTGGCGACCCCTCTTCGGCCTATTTTTCGTCCATTTTTCGCCTTCCTCGCCCGCACCTCACTTCATCCTACGTCCTACTTGCGTCTCCAGGTTGGTTTTTCAGCTCCACCTTGTGAATTTTGGGAGAATCGGATTAGGTAGTGAAGTGAGGATGATTTTCACGCTTTGAATGTTGAACCTAGATTTAGGGCGAGGAATTAGGTGATCTTGGTTGATTGAATGGTGGAATGTTATTGCATGAGCCTAGTTGAGCCTTGGTAGGTGTGTTTGAATCGAATTGTCTTTATTTTTAGAATTTTCCCACCAAGTGCTATTTTGAGAATGCATGTGGAGCTTTATGCTTGTTGGTGGATGGTAGCCACCGTGGTTTGGTTTCTGGTACAAATTTTTGTATGCATGAACTGTGAAATACCCACAACCATGGCACGGTGTGCTTGAGCTTAAATGTTAACAATCCGCAGTGGAAGCATAAATGTGGGGGGAATCTCTTTTCCTCCCAATGAGCTATATTTGATTATTGTTTCCACGTATGGTGTATGTTTGCCAATTTGTGCAGGATGGTTAACTTGGAGCACGAGTACATCAGCTACTTGGTGCATCACCCGGATTTTGGCGACAAGTTTCCCTACCAAAGGGACAGCCCGATTGGGCCGCATCGGCGGCTAGACTTGGACATGTTCGACCTGTTCAGGTGCCGAGCCGCGATGTCAGGGGAACTCTGTCACCCCCACTAGCGTCAGCTCCTATCGGTGGATGAGCATATCTACCATGAGATCTGCGTGGAGTTGTACTCCACCTTCTCCCACGTTGTCCCGGCCAGCAAGAAGAGTCGCCCACACGTGGAGTTCATGTTGGGAGGTCAGCCACGAGTGCTGACCTACGACGCCTTTGCTCGGAACATGGGGCTCGACACCACCCACATGACGATGATGGAGCGGCAATACACAGCGGATTTCAACTATAAGGGAGCATTCCGAGCTCTCTGCCGCCACGAGCACGAGCAAGACGAGTTTGAGAGGAGCCGCACCAACACAGTGAAGCTGAGGGCTCCTTGGAGGATCCTCCACACTTTTCTCACCCGCTCGGTTGTCCCCAGCCTGCAGTCAGACCATCTGATGACGAATAGAGGGCTAATTTCCCTCTACTCCATGAGGAGTCCAGCGGAGCCGATCCATCTAGGATCTCTGCTCACCACTTCTTTCGCCCTGTGTCTAGGGAGGAAAAGAGTGGACACCATGCACATGGGGGGCCTCATTACGAGGATGATCCGACACTACCATGTGGATCTCCCTCGGTGCACCAATTTAGGGAGGACGGAACCCTTCTCAGTGGCGACCCTTTACAACCAGAAGTTGGTACTCCAGGGAGAGCGAGGAGTGGAGTACCTCGAGGGACTCCGACCATAAGGAGTCATCAGAGCAACAGTTGTACTGGCTCCAGTGGAGCCTGATCCAGAGGTCCCACTAGCAGAGCAGCCACCACCACCAGCAGCAGTAGAAGGTGATACCCTCATCTGAAGGGTGGATCGCCTAGAGACGAGCTTCGCGGGAGTGACTTCACGCCTAGACCGACAGACTGATCTCCTCCACCTGATGGCTCGACGTGAGGGCCTCCTTCCAGATGAGGGAGAGGGTCTTTCCACCCGTGAGAGGTAGACGACGAGCAAGATATGTGGCAGAGCCGATTTCTTTCGCCCCACTTCTCCACTTGTAACTATGAACTTGTTTTTGTTATTTTTCTTTCATTTGTGTGTGTGTGTGACCATAAGCTACTACTACTATCATATTGTGTTTGTAATAACCTTGCCTCGAGCGAGTCGTATTGTGTTTGTGTGTGTGTGTGTGTGTGTTTTTTTCTCTCTCTCTTTGAAGCTCCAAATATCCTACCGCGGAATCGATTCCAACTTTCACTCACCAAGCCCAAGCGGTAACATCATTCTACCCCTATCTTACGCCATTGAGGGCAATGTCGGGCTTAAGTGTTGGGGGCAGTTTACTATTATGCTTGTGTGAGTACGATTCATGCTTGGAGCCTAGTTGTATGACCAAATTTGAAAATTTTGAGGGCTCCAAGTAATGTTTGAATGATCAAAGTGGCTGGTTTGTGGAAAAATCTTGTGTTTATTGCCATATATTTTAATTTGTTGCGAGTGATTGAGTATATCCTATGATGATGAATGAGAGGTCCATTAGGATAGTGCAAAAGTTTAGTTCTCATGTGGGCATAAATGAATGAATGTCTTGGCTCGATTACTTGTGGACTACAATTTTCCATGCATTGTGTTTTGTGAATTGGAATAGATGGTTGGGTGACTAGGTAGCCATGTGAGCTTTGAGCCAATCTTTTTCTTTTTGTGTGCTTAAATCCCTCTTACCATGACGAGTAACATCATAGTTGTCATTAGTGAGTGTGATATAGGCATAGGATTAGTCCACGCCCAAATGTTGATTGTCCTGAAATGCGTTATTCACTAGTCAACCCCTTTGAGCCATGGGACTTTGAGGGTCGTTCTTAAAGTAGGAGCTTCGTGCTTGTGAGCTTAATGGTGTTGATAGAACGACCCCTAATCCTTTCTTTGTGTCTAAACATGAGTCGTCCTTGTATCCCGGAGCTCTCACTTTTGAGTTTCCATAGAGGTTCTACATAGGAAATTGGTGTGTGGTTCTTGCTAGGAAGGAAAAATGAAGTGTAGTGTTGGAGTGAGTTCTTGAAAAGAGAGCATTGGTCGTTAAATGTATAGTTGGCAAAAATTTTACTCTCTAGTACCCCCTCAAAAAGAAAAGAAATAAAAGAAAAAGAAAGAAAAGAGAAACGAAAAAGAAGTAATAAAACGGGGTAAATCAAGTAGAGAGTGCCACGAAAAAACCAAAGTGTATGCTCTAGGAGGGGTTTCTTGGCACTCAAGGCACTGAAGGCACTCGAGAGTGAGTGATTCATTCTTGTTTTGCATGCCATATCATACCCCGGTGAGGACTTTTGTTGCCTTTTCATTTGTTCCTCAGACTTGAATTCTATGCATGGTTAGTTGTGGTAATAAGTGGTCTTGTTGAGACTTGCATTGATCCATGAACAAGGTGAGAACTTTTCGTTTGCCCACTTTTGGTGGCCTCGAATGTCGTTTGTATTGGGTCGGTATTACTTGCAACGGTCCATGTATTAATTGCCAATAGCCATTGAGAATTCTCACTATGTGCCCTTTGAGTTATCCCCAAAGTATTTTTTTAGATTGAAATATTACCTTGTGTGAAATGGTTTTCTTGGGGACAAACAAACGTCTAAGTGTGGGGGAGTGATTCGTGCCTAATTGTACATATTTTACCCCCGTTTTCCTTAGGCGTTTGTGACAATTGTGCTCCTAAAAGGGTGGTTTTACGCGAGGTTTCTTGTGTTTTAGCATGTTTCAGGATTTAATAGGTGAAACCAGCCCTGAAGTTGGAAGTTGGACGAAAAGGAACGAAAACCGGGAGAAGAGGTGAAAAACCGACAGTTCACGGTTTCTCTTGGAAGTTCACAGTCTGCTAAGACCGTGAAGAGGAGTTGTTTCCCGTGAACATCAAGGCGTCCAAAGAAATTATGAAGTTATTGACGCTGAGTGAGTTCACGGTAACTAAAACCGTAAACTGAAGATGTTGCCTGTGAACCTGTGCAAGCGAAGCGGTGCGTTTCGATGCCAACCTTGAGTTCACGGACGCGTTCAACAGTTCACGGTCGTGAACTTAACCCGATCCCGATTTAAAAAGAGAGCTGAAAGGAAAAGAGAAAGGGGGAGCCCAAGAGTGAGAAAGTGTCTTCTTCTTCAGATTTTAGAGAGAGAAAGAACGAACCAAAGAAGAAAGAAGGCTAGGGTTTTCTCCAAGTGGTGAATTTGGAAGATTCTCCCCAAGAGAAGATCAACACAAGCTCAAAGGAGATTGGAGGCATCACCATGATGGTTTCACCTCTTCCTCTTGTGTTCTTCTCCTTTCTAGCATGAAGTAGTTTCCTTTTTCACTTGGGTGTTGTGAAACCCTAACTATTTGCCTTGTAGTTGTTATGTGAATTGAATGATTATTTATGGGTGTTGTTTAATTCAATGATTGAGGTATTTTTCATGTTGATTGTGCATGTTTATGCTTAGCAATCTAATTGACCATTCCAACCTAGATTAGAGGGGAAACCCCCCTTTCAAGGGAGGCTCAATTGAGTTGGGATTCCTAGGGCTTCTTAAGCCAACTATCTAGGTTCGTGTAGGATAAGCCTCTATGTTGAATTAAACAATTTGGTTAAGCGGGATTAAGTCGACCAACCATTGGGTTGAGTGAGGGAGTAAGTCAACCATCGATTGCCTTAACCGAGAGGGCCACTTGAATAGACTATAATGTATCCTTCGGTTTGGCAATCGAGAGTGTGGTCTACGACCATATTTGCGTCCCCTAGCGTGAAACATCCCACTACTTTGAACTTGGAAAAAAACATTTCTACCCCGGGGTATAAAAAAATCTCAAATAACACAACTCTAAATAAAATACCAAATGCAAATATCTTAATATCCCAAAGCAAAGCCCTAAACACGTGGGCAAAACTTAAATCATCCCAAATAAATGAATCTCCAGTCTTTAACTCTTAACCATAAAGTCTTAATA